AAAGTGCAAATGGCTTTGAACCATGTTTTACATTTTTCCTTTATTCTTTTACTGTTTTTCTTCTCATGCATAAGTAATAATTGCGACATTATTCCACTTTGTATTTATATTGTGTACCATAACTCTTTCAAATTCGTGGGAACAAATGGATTTGTTTCCTAAAATTGTTATGTATTAAAGCACGGAATCTGAAACAAATAGCTATTTTTGAACAGAAAACCTTCCTAAATATGAATATTTTCTTATAGTGAAAAACTTAGAAAATACAGGAAAAGAAAATGAGGGACTACTTGCAGCTAATTATACACCTGTAATTACTATCAAGATAGGAGCTTTTGTAGTTGAAAAGATTAATGTAAATAATTCACAAGCAGCAACATTTGTGCAAATCCTTTTCAGGACAGATTTGCACACGTCAATAATTGTATTTGGGTGATATGCAAAAATTGATTGAAATATGCATCTTGGAATTACATGTTTGGTCATGTATGCTTTTTATTGCAATCAAAGAGGAGATAACAGAATTACAGTGCACATGAGATAATGTTACTAATTCCAGGAAAATATTTTTCCTGACTATTCCAAAATATTTCTTCTCTAGTGTTTCTGTGGATATGAAACTGGAGTGCCAATCCATAATTTATAGATGAAAAAAATCTTGTTAACAGATTATATTAATGCATCTCTAATCTATGCTAAGTAATAATTTAAAGCCAGAGAGATTCTGGTAAATTCATTCGTCGTTACCTTTACTGACAAAAAGCTATATTTTATAAAATTACAGTATGAATTTGTCCTTACTGGACCATCTGTAAAAAACTACAACTCAATCATATATTATCATTTATTGCATTGCAGACTTTTTTTGTGACTAATGCATATTTCTCTTGATTGAAGAGATTGATAGTGCAATATATATAATTCAGATATCTAAATGACACTGTCTGGATTCCAATAATTGTAGGTCTTGACTCTTGGGGTTTCATTTAGGTTGCATATTTTCTTAAAATTATTGATAAAATAAACCTGAAATCATGATAGATTAAACGGGCAAACCTTTTTTTTTTTTTAAAAAAATTGCATGAGCCTTCTTTCTTAAAAGTTCCAAGAAGTTTCTATGGTAGGTGTTCCCAACCTGTGGGGCATAGCCTATTTATAACTGGGCTATGTGAGTGGTAAGCTGGCACATTCTCAGCCCCACTTGCAGTCTGTCCCTCACACAAATTAAGCTGTGCCTGCCTGCCGCTCACAAAAAACCATCTCTTCTTGCCCCCTCCTGTGCCAGGCCACCAACCCGGAAAGGTTTGGGAACACTGCTCCATGAGAAGCATCCTGCCCCGCTATGTAAAAACAAAAGAGGACTCCTTTATCTTTAAAAGTCTTTTGCATTGTTTTGTTGTCTTTAAAGAGGATGGTAGTGGGCAATGAATGTGCCTTTCCCCCCTCTTCTTTGGTGTAAGATCCATAGGTTTCCATATTCAAAAGTAGGAATAAATACCAGCTAAATTTCCTATGAGGACAGCATCAGGCAAAATGTATATAGCAATGACAACAGAAATGCCTGTCCGTCACACATTTGTGGCAGAAGTAATTCTGCAATAGCACCTTCAATTTCATCCACACTTGGGACTGGAATCTTAGTATTGAGCAAAGTGGCCATTAAGCAACAAGCCCATGTGACTGCTTCGTTCAAAGACTCCCAGTTGTAGTCATTAAGCATTTCCCAGGTCAGTGTGAAGTAGTAGTCCTCTTGGCAGGCAGCCCTTTTGCTCCCAAAAGTTTTTGCAGCTCAATGAAGGACTTTAGCTCCACACCATGTACAGAGGAGGATTCTTTTGTGAGGCTGCAGGAACAGAGATGAAATCTTCAGGTTGTCATGATGTTCAGAATTTCAGCACCATTCCTGCAGCCCACATGAGAGCTTCAGCTTTTCTCTGTCCCCTCTGCTTGCAATCTTCCCAGTCTGCTTCCCAAAATTCACTTTCTAGGGAAACTGTCATGGAATTTTGCAAATGGTAATCACATGTTTATGGGAAACTTTTATTTCATATGGCTTTACAGGCTATAAAGTACCCTTTTCTCAGCTGTTGTAACTTTGAATGGTCATTAAACGACTGTAAATCCTTGTAAGTCAAGGATTAGTTGTACCTTATATAAAAATCAGATCATTGTCTCTGAATCATGACATTTTAGTATAATTAGAGATAGACTTTTGCCTACTCCCTAAAGTGAAAAACTCCTAATAGTGTATTGATGTTGCATGACCACTCTTGTTTCTATATGACTCAAGCCAATCTTGGTTTTTGCATTAGGACTCAGTTCTCAGTTCCCAAAGAATTATGAGAGAGTAATAGAAGACTTTTTTCTAAAATTCCTTCTGTTGTGTCACTTATTGATCAGAATGAAGAATTTACTTCTCAGAATGGAAAATCGGAAATAGAGTAATTAATTACATATATTTCATTTCAGTTAAGTGATTTGTTAGAGGGATAGAACAAATTTATTTTTAAATAAACAAATTATATCTTTTGTATATCTTTTATAACTTTTTTTTAAAAAAATTCTTGTTTCTTGTAATACTGTTAACTGAACTCAAGAAAATGGTTCAAGATCCTGGCATGTTCTGACTAAAGTTGAGTTAGCCATAGTTCCAACACAATAGGAGCTCTCTTCCTCTAGCTTATGCTCACAAAGGATTTCCCATAAGGTGGAAAAACTGTAAGGAGACCAGGGGTGGAGGTTCAAGAAAACTAGAAGAATCTGCTACTGATCAATAGCTTTTTTTTTTCATGGAAGATTGACATTTGTGAATTAGGTCAAACTCAAGTGTACTATTAAAGCAAGGCTTGATATAGTATTTATTTTCAAACAACCACATTGACTTCAAATTGTGTATCTTCAAATTTACTTTGAAGACTGAACTGATTTGCAGATCCAAAACCCTTCAAAATATTTTCAGTTTTATATGAAATCTGTCCCATATTTGCCAGTTCTATTAATTACATATTCAAAAGTTCCCTAAGGAGGTTTTATTTCTGTAGTTGCAATTCCAGGCATTATAAGTTGGAAATCTTTCCCACTGAATCTACAGATCTTCTTTCTAGCAGAGTAAACTAGATATATGAAACTAGATATATGACGTGCAATGGTAAAACTTAGATTTTGGATAAGGCTACTTCATGCAAATACATATGTAGTACTTGTTTGTTTATATCTTTTTTATATACACAAAAAGGGCCTACTTTGAAGAAACCACATTGACTTTAACCATTGCAATACAGTAATATGAATGCTATCATCTGATCCTTATCTAAATTTGTATTGCAGTTTTTGGTTGGTTGAAAAAGTAAGGCTGTTTTTCCTTTGTGACATCACAACATCCATATCATAGGACAAACAGAAGTAGCAGTTTAGGCTTTGAACTGGGACAAACATGTATTAGGCTTGTCTTCCTCATCTTAAATTTCATGGTGTGTGTCCCAGAATTAAACATGTTTCTTGCATGATTAAACTGTTAATCGAACTCCAAGGGACAGGGTGAAGTCATGATCCAGGTTTATTGTTCAGATGGAAGAATTATTATGCTTTCAGGTAAGTCATCAGTAAAGGCATTTTCCCATTGTTTAATAGCTGTGGATCACTGATACATGATTCAATCAGAAGAATCTATTATGTGGAAGGGTGCGTAGGTGGATAGTTGGAACCAGTAGTAAAACTGAGAAAATATTATGCAAGCAGCTTGTAATGAATATATCCTGCAAATACTGACAACTTAACTACACTATTTTCTTTTATTTTTTCTTTTAATATATTTACCAATACTTTTTAAATGTGACTTAAGGGTTTAATTTGATAATAATGTAGTCAAACTGATAATAGATACTTCCTTGCAAACCATGGAATGTTCGGCCATCCTGGACCTTGAAATAATTCCATGTGTAAGGAACTCCATCATATCTCTAAGGCACTTATGTTGTAAACCATGCTATCTGCTGCAGTTGTATTCTTTGAATTTGACTGCAAGCAATGAACTGGTGATGATTAATACAATAGGATATGTTAAGCTGGGCGCAGGTATTCAGACTGCACATAAGATGATTAAAGGGGTGAGGAGACGATGCATGCATACTGCTCCTCTGTATCTTCTTGTATCTCTTCCCAACCTTCCTTTGATGATGATGAAGATCTTAAGACTATTACGTTTGACTTACCTGAACACCATGGAAAGCATACATGGACCCAGAAATTATAGAAGTGTTTTCCATGCCCCTCCTCAGCTCAGAGTAGGAAGTTTGGAAACTGTTCAGTGAGGAATGTTACACTCAAGTTTTGCATGTTGACTCATGCCCAGACTGTCCTTTTCAACGACAGAGGAGTAGACTGAACATACATGCAGGGATTTTCCTATATGTACAAATTTCACATCCTTTATTGCTAACCAAAAGAATGGAATATAACAGTTGGGCTATGTATTTATTCACTGTTTCTTTAACTACAGTTTTCTTTATGTTTGTAAAGTGGTTTATGTGCAAACCATTTAAATAGCAGATAACACAGTGGAAATAAAAGTCATCGTGTCCTATTCTTTTATTTTAATATTCAGTCTTGCCCTCCTTTGTAATGCTGTTCCTAGAAGATGCAGTACATACATATAGGAAGTGGTTTTAAGTCATGACCAAATATTACTGGTACTAATATGTTTAAAAAAGTGATGGCCAATGTTTTCAGATTATTGTTAATTGTTTGATATAATGCTGTTAATACCACATCATTCAAACCTCATAATTTTCTTTACAATGCTCCAATGGTAACATTTTTAGAGAACATTGAGAAGTGTTATTCTTTAATTTTCCAGTTGCAATTATTTTTTAATTACCAAAAATTGGGCCAGTAATTAGTTCATTATAAATACTGCATGGCAATTTAAACTGAAAATGTTAAAGGTTAAATTGAAGTTATGATTTTAAAATGTTAACCCTTTTCCCCTTATTTTCTAATAGCTGCTGGTGGTGAAATAAACCAGACGCCTGGGGTGTTTAAGCAAGCAAAGGAAAAACTTTCGGTGGGTGAATTTGCCTTTATGTGTTCTACAGATCTGCATATTTTGAATATTTGGTAGTTCTATTACCATAAATAACTTAAAAAACCATTTGGCAGTTTTAAACAAATAGTTTCTTTTTGACTCACTTTGAAATTAATCATAGGTTAAAATGTTCTAATTGCTGTACTGTGTAAAATTACATACTGACAGTTAGAAAGATATTAAGCTTTCTGTTTTATGTTCTAGTTAATCAGATGCAAATCTGAGAACTTCATGGCACTACTTTCAATCTATCAGTCTGATTCATTCTTGTAAGAGAAAATGTTAGAATCTCTATCTGATCTGCTTTCTGTATGTTTAAAAGCCAGTATGTTTACTGCTCTGCTTGGAAAGAAAAAAGGGGGGTGGCAAATCCAAAGTTCAGCCAATCACTGAAGCTGGGACTGAATGCTAATCAGCTAGATAAGCAAATTGACACCAGGAAACTCTAGTCAGTGCCCCTGAGTTACAAGGCAACTGAAAGTCTGGCTGCATGGACTCTCAAGACATTAAGCAAAATCTAAATGAAAATATAATAAAACTAGTGCTGTCATAGCCTCAGGATGCAAAGAAAACCTGTTTTCATTAGCATAAAATAGGAAATCAGCACAATGAGCTACCAGCAGTAGAACAGAACAATATTTTTATCACCCATTGTTAACTATAACAACGGAACAAATTTATGTTAGTGGGAATGCACAAATACGTTTGACTGCACTTTACCAGATGTGGTAAGAACCATTCATAGTACTCTGCTTTCCATGATTATCCTTTGTTCAAGACCATAAATCAGTTGACTGGTGATGTACAACTGGGAGATTCTGTGAAGTGCCATCTTTTCTTTTTGCTTCCTTTCTCCCCTTTCCTGTGAAGAGAAAGATGGGAGGAGCAGAATATCTCTCTTAAACCATATTTGTTCTAACAAGAAATGCAGGAGGAAAAGGGATGTGGCCAGAGTTGAAACGCTTTCTCCAGACATATATTCTGTTTTAGTCTTTAGGGAAGAAAAATCCCCTCCAATTTAAATGTACCTGTTTATGAGTTTTGCAGCCGGAATCATACAACTGGATGAAGTGACTATCTTAGTGCAGAAATTCAAATCAAATCATAAGATGTGACAGAACATAACCAAGGAAAGGGCCCCTATCAAACCCAAATCACCAGACCTTCTATCTGAGACCATTTGCACCATTCTCCAAACAGAGCGCGGCCTTGTCCAAATTGCATGTGGTCCTTGTGAGAAGGCCCAACACAATTTGGACAAGGCTACATATACTGCCTCATGAAGAGCCATTCTGGGCACACTTCCTCAGGAGTGGGAGGAAGAAAATGGCGAAGAGCATCTGGGAGTGGTAGGGCCAGTGGAACTCAGGGCAGCCAAAGAGGCACAGAGGATGGGGTGGGGGAGAGGTGAAGGGAATCTAACATGCACATTTGCCTGTTTGTATTTAATACTTTTGCTCACCCATTAAAAGTATCTTTTTCCTTTTTATCCAGAAGCCTCAGCCTTCCATAATTGGATAGTAAAAAAATAGTAATTTGCATATGTCAATAAAAAAAAAATCTTACACTGCTGTCCAATTCGTATCACTACTTGAAGTGAGAAGTTCAAGTAGCAAGCTTGCTCCCTGATTACCTTGTCTTCTTTGAGCACACTATCTTAAGATGGCAGGGAATAGATTAAGTAGCATTGTAAAGGAGGTTATATCTTTAATGATGACTGATTTAATAATTGTTTTTTCCTATTTATTGTTTTATTTTAATAATTATACACTGCACAGAATCACTTTGTGTAAAATGGGCAGCCATATAAATTTAATAAATAAACAGCTCACTTTCTCTCTAAAATAAAGCTGTCACCCGATGGTTACAATTCTTGGTCTGTGGCTGGGAGACTTGAATTCAGGGAACTTCATAGAACTTTTCTGAGACAAATATGTACAGGATTAAATATTAGATTCATAAACAGTTTTTTTTTAATTTCTCAAACTTTATATGCTCATTTGTTGTTTACATCCTCCTACATCATAATACTAATTGTGCCCATCAAATCCCATCTCTCTGTTCTACGTTTTCAGTATTTACTCTGTGTTTTTAGCTTTATAGACTAGCATAGCTATTCTTCTTGAAGGTGTTTACAATTGCATGTTTTTGGTGCCCAAATTATTTTCTTTAAATGTAATTCTAACCTAGGCCTTATATCTATATGGATTTACAAAGGACACATACATGATTTACTTTGATTTGTATATTTAAAACTGAAATGAAGAATAGCATATGGAATGCATCTGAGTGTGATTTCAGGTGAAAGGTTTCTGAAAGGAAATTAATAATACATTTTTATTTTTAAAAAGACAAATAGTGCCTTCTGTATTTTGTTTTGCAATAGAAAAAGAATAAGCAAAAATGTTAAATGATATCATAAGGCTTCCATAATTGGCTTTGTTAAAATTAGTTAGATGCAAAGACTTCGTAAGGCCAGGACTATATTCTCTCCAGCATTAACAAGGTATAGCAGTTTGTCTGTGACTACTGCAGTTAATAATGAATAATGCATAATGTTTTAATTGCAGTTTCAAAGTAATATTGTCCACTAAGATCCTAAACATGAACTCAAAGTACTTATTGACTTATTTTTATGAGATCTAAAAAACCTGTATCTTAAATAGAATTATAAAAAATATGAATATAGGCTGTATTTACCTTGAATGAAGTCAGTGCAAATCTAGCCTCAGCCTGGTAACTGAAGGAATCCTGATTTGGATATCAATACTTTTTGGTGAATACTATAACTGAAAATTCAGTCTTAAAACCTGGAAAAATGATAACACTAAAAATAAAAAAATAGTACGTTAGCATGGGCCAGTGACAGTGTAAATTAGCTGCAGAAAAATAGATGTCAGTTTTTGAAAAATAACCATTATATCATTAGTCTTCTTATGACTTGAACAATGAAATCATTTTACTTTAAATGTATGCTTCCTTTAATGTAAGAACAATAATACAATACAATAATTATTTTTAAAGTTCTAATTTGAAATCTGTTTTCCATATTCCATACATTTGTTTGTCTCATTGTTCATCTTCCCATTACATTTTTCTTTTTGTTTTCCTATAATTAGACTTCTTCTTTGTCAAAGATTCCTGCCTCAAAGGTTAGAGCAAAGTCATTGCTTCCTCCAAGACCCAACTCTGCTTGTTCACTAATCACCACTAAAAAAGTTGTTTTGCGCAATAAAGACAATTATATTGCATGGCCCTCTTCAGCGGGCCCAAGGGACTATTCAAAAACAGCTCAGGTAAGGTAGTTGAGGTAGAAGAAGAATAAATGCCCACATCTTTAATTTTTTTCCTTCACTACTGAATATGGATATCTCACCTTGATATCCCTTTTCCCAAATGAAAAAGAAATGCAGTATATTAGAAATATAATCAAATTGGTTCATGATATCAATAGTTCCCAAGGGTCACTTTTCCTGATTAGCCTATAATGTCTATAAAAGAGAATTAATCTAGTCATTCCTCACCACAGATCACAAGTGATGAGAAAATTCACTGGTGATGATACTATTCCCATAACTGTTTTTGAAAAACAGTACAGGAGAAGGTAAACAGGAAGAAATGTAAAGGCTGATTTACAGATTCTAGCAGGCAAAGCAAGCTTCAGAATCCAAAGAAATGCCAGGGGTAGAACTTGTGAGGAAGGCAAGATAGAGCTGAGTTGTGATTTCATAGGATGCCAAAATATGGGATTTGTTGATAATAGCTAATATTAAAATGTAATTTATAGATGATAAAAATAAATTTGTTTTAAAAGCTTAATGTATTATTTGATTCTATTCAATGATTACAAATTTCATTTGGTAGTTGTCATTTTATGAACATTCATTCGGCAAATCATTCAAAATTACGACAGTGCTGAGTGAATGGACATACAATTCCTGCCTGAACTTATGACCATTGTAGCACCCCATGGTCACGTTATCAAAATTTAGGTGGTTGGCAGCTTGCTTACCCTTGGGAACACTGCAACTGCTGCCCCCCCCCCCCCAACATGGGCTGGGAGACCTCAGCTGCCTAGGCCCATTGAGATGCAGAAAACGTATGCCCACTGGAAGACTCAGGAATTGGGGGGAAAGGCAGAGTCCTGCACAGATTCTAGCTGGTTAAGGCTTCTGGGAATATGGGAGAGGCAGGAGGCCTGCTTATGCTGAGCCTAGCCAGCCAAAGCTTTCTGACCTACAACACATTTCCACATGTCAGCAGGTCATTTAAGATGTGGAAGGTTGCTTAATGACTACAATGGGAAGAGCCGGGATTGTGGTTGCTGAGCAAGGCAGCCACATGAGTGTCTTCCTTAACAACCACAACGACTTACAACCAACATTCTGGGCTCAACTGTGATCATAAGTCAAGAGCTACTTCTAGTAGGTTAGGCCAATAGAAGAGCCCTTGCCTAAAAACTCTGGCTTTTCCAAATAATTTTTGTATGTCGAGAAGTCACTTTGCCTGTTTCCAAGTACTGAGTGAGTGGTTGTTCTGTTTAGCTTCAGAATGTAACATCTGTGTGTGTGTCTATGAATGTATGTTCACAGCAGAGACACAAACTTTCTTTTTTGACTTTAAATGCAAATAAAATAAGGCTATACTGATGCAGTCATAGCCAAATTCAGTCAACTTTCTGCCCTCAACCTTGGAATACCCTTTTTCCTCAACAGCTTCTGTACTATTGTACTGTACTACTGTAGTGTTGCTTTAATGGCTTGAATGCAAACAAAGTTAGGTTGGAGCGGAATATACCAATACATGTTTAAAACCAAAATGCTTCCTATTTTTTTGCATTAGGATGGAATAACCAAGAGTCCTGAAAAGCGCTCCTCTTTACCAAGACCTTCTTCCATTTTACCCGCCCGAAGAGGTATCTCAGCAGACAGAGAACGAGATGAAAATTCTTTCTCCTTGAACAGTACCATCTCATCTGTACGACGAACTACGAGTATGTCTCTTGCCTTATAATTCAGAGTTAAAGTTGGAGGTGAAAGCTCAGGGTTAATCCACTAATTTGACTTAGTGGACATTTTTGAAATTTTGAAAGCATCTTATGAATAATCTTACAACAATTATGCTACAATGAGCCCAGACAGTCTCAAAAATTCCCATATAGTTCTAGAGCACTATTCCCTGTAAGTTTATAAGATGCAATCTTTTCTTTTGGCTTAGACACCTAGAGTCTATGCAAGACCCAGAAATGTTTCTGGAAATAAAATAATTGCATTAAAATTACACTTTTTTGCAATATGCTAATCTCCATTTATTTTTTTTAAACTAAAAGAATCTGATGAGATGAGATGAGATGAGGCGAGATGAGATGAGATGAGGCAAGACAAGATGAAACATAGAGTCTGTCTGATTTCAAAAGAAATGTTTCTGGATGCATTGCCATGTTGAGGAAATAGGTTTTAGACCAGAGATGATATCTAAATTAGATAGCAACTACTTTCTGCTCAGCTGTGTTTCTATTATAAGAGGAACATGTTATATACTACCAGATAAGATCAGATAAAAATTCTAGATATATTATAAAATATGAATTCTATGTAATTGGATACTTTTTAAAAAGCTAGGAAAATTCTGTGTTTAGGAAAAGAGAAAAGTTTACCAGAAAAAACGTATTCCCTAGACACATCCTAAGTTTCTATTTGTATAGTTTATATCAGTTCCTTGAAATATTTGATAGCAGAATTTTAAAATATATGGAAAAAAATGCTTTGCATTTTGTAATATATAGTGTTTTTGATTTAGGAAAAAAAAATCCCAACTTATGAAGAGATTTTAAATTTTAAGCATAATCTTAATTTAGAAATACAGGTAGGGCTATTGAATCTGGACTGCAAAAAAAGATATCCACTAATCATGAGTGTATCTTTTTCCTATCATCAAATGACAACCAGGTGTTTGCAACCCAAAACTGGTAGTCATAGGGAAAGATGAAGCTAGAAGTAGGGAGCACATGGAGATATTATTGGAGATAGAAATCTGCATTAAGCCTCAACTCTAACTCTCTTTTTCATTTATTTCTCCTTGGGGATCATTAAGCTATGAAAGATATAATTGCAAATATCCAATATTATTGATTTTAACTTGCTTTAAATCCCAGCTGGTTTGTACTTCATGATAATCTTGTCATTTAGTGAAACATTGTTCAATTTTAAGTTTCACCCTGATCTTCAGAAAGTTTCAGCAAAGACTGAATATTTTTGTGATCAGGTTCTTTTATGAACAATTAGATGCCAGTTCTCTCTAAGAAATGATATGAATATCATAGAACAAACAGAATTCTGTTATCAATACAGGATCAGAGCCTATTCGAAGCCGAACAGGAAAAAGTGGTACATCAACTCCAACTACTCCAGGATCAACTGCCATCACTCCTGGAACCCCACCTAGTTATTCCTCTCGCACTCCAGGAACACCTGGGACCCCTAGTTATTCCAGAACCCCACATACACCGGGTACTCCCACATCTGCAATTCTGGTACCCACTGAGAAAAAAGTTGCTATCATACGCACACCTCCGAAATCTCCAGCAACCCCTAAGCAACTTCGTCTGATTAATCAACCTCTACCAGATCTCAAGAATGTCAGGTCCAAAGTTGGGTCAACAGACAACATCAAGTATCAGCCTAAAGGGGGGCAGGTAAGGCTTTCATTTAAGTACATTTAAAAATAGGATTAGGGTAGATAAAGTTGAGAATATGCCGTATTGACTTGAAGGCATTCTTCATTAATTACTGTAAACTTCTAATTTTATTCTGGTAGTAATTGGCACCTAATTACACTTCTTGTTCCATTCGTTTAGCATTTTCCCTAGAAGTATATTTGAATGTATAAGGTGTTAGTATCCTTTATTAGAAAAAAAAAGCCAATTACTTCTGATAAAGTAGAAAGAAAATCTGCAGAATGGAAACTTCCTTTAAACCTCACTGATACACTTCTAGAGACTGAAGTTAACCACTGAAATGTTTTTGTATTGTAATCTGATTGTATTGTAATACCTTTCTGAAATACATTGGTATAATTTGCCTAAGATACAAGTTGCTCTTTATTTCTTGTGAAATTTTAATTTGTTTTATTTTGTGGAATTGCTTTTAAATGAGGGCTACCAGATTGGAGCTACAAATATCTAGACATTCCATAAATGGTAAAAATGGCAGAATGTGTATACACTAAGATTTCACAATTATTTATATTGAACGATCAAGTGTGCCTTGTTCATCAAAAACAGAGGTCTCCGAACTTGGCAACTTTACAATTTGTGGACTTCCAGAATTCTGAGAGTTGAAGTGCACAAGTCTTAAAGTTGCCAAGTTTGGGAATCCCTGATCAAAAACAATTTCATATTATGATGCCTGTTTTATTCAGCCTGTCAGAAAAATGTCATGCAGCTTCATATTGCTATGATAATATTTTCTATCTGCTTGTTTGGGATGCTTTCATGCGAAAATATCTGACTACAGCATAGAAGGATTAAGAAACCAAAGGAAGTATCCAGGGGTGGGATTCAAATTTTTTAACAACCGGTTCTGTGGGTGTGGCTTAGTTGGTGGCCATGGCTTGGTGGTCATGTGACTGGGTGGCCGTGACTTGGTGGTCATGTTATTGGCTGGGCATGGCCAACTCAATATCATCGAGGGATGCATCTCCTTGCCTGGCCTCTCATGACTGTGGGGATACTGCAACAGTCATAAGTGTGAAAAATGGTCATAAGACACTTTTTTCAGTGCCATTGTAACTTTGAATGGTCACACCACACAAGCAAAGTACCAGCAAAGGCTGGGGAAAAAAAACTCCAGAGAAGTTCCTGAGAGAGGAAGTCTAGTCCTGCCAAGAATGTAATAAGGGTTAACGGAGAGGCAGTTTCTGTAAGCAACACCAGAATGTTTCCTTCCTGCCTTCCTTACAGGATTAGGCCAGTAATTTCTTCTAACAACCGGTTCTCCGAACTGCTTAGAATGTTAACAACAGGTTCTAGCGTATAGGTGCAAACTGGTAGAATCCCATCCCTGGAAGTATCTACTACCATGAGAGTTCTGCTACAAATACAAACCTCCCAATACCCAGCTGGCTCAATTTGAGAGTTGCATATATACATTGCCTTCTTCCAGATTGGGTTAGCTTCCTCAAGTTCTGCTGGGAATGGAAAGCACAGTTGGTTAAAGACAAGGGTGAGATTCAAAAATCCCAGCAACCTGTTCGCTGCCTGGTTGCTGGGTGGGCGTTAGCTTACCAAAACCTCCTGTTTCCAGCTTCCAGTGGGCTTCCAGAGCCCTGGGGAGGCCGTTTTCGCTCTCCCAAGGGTCCAGAGCTTCTCCCGGGCCTCTGGGAGGGTGAAAATGGCTTCCTCCAGGCTCTGAAGACCCTCTGGAAGCCGGAAACAGGCCTGTTTCTGCACTTCCAGAAGGCCCCTTTTTCCCCCTCCCAGAGCCTCCGTGCAAACCCTGCACTTACCTCCATCAAAAATGGGCTGCGTGGAGACTCCTGGGAGGGGTGGGGTGGGATGGGTGGGACCAGCCGGTCGGTTGAAATACCGGTTTGGTGAACCAGATGTAATTTTAACATCCGGTTCACCTAAACCAATCCGAACTGGTAGAATCACACCCCTGGTTAAAGAGCATTAAACACTGACGCGATGCCTTGAGATCAGCATCATGCCTCAAAAGCTCTTGGGTCAGACTTTCAGTTTTTTCACGGTTTTCTCACTTTCTGATTCTCCAGATTCTAACGATTTGATTTTACTGATTTACAAATACAAATATAATTTGGTCTCTTATCTCAGATCTTTTCTTGATCATTGAGATAAGAAATTGAGGTTCTCCACTAGTAGTGGGGAATGTATTGCATTGATCTGTATTTTAACATGTGGTAAATTTCTCTGTGAACTACACTGCAAACTGTAGCCAAGTTTCATGTAATTGAATTTCTCTATTTGGCAAAACTAAGCTTTTCCTTGTTATTCTTGTTTCTCTGTCCAGTTATGTATTGGACCCTTAACGTGCCTCTCTATTGCTTTTACCCTTTCCCTTTCAACTTTTATATTTCACAATCCAATGTAATACATATTTAAATCAAGTCTAAATTCTTTCAAGTTGTCTTTATTTTTTTCAGACTGATTTTGATATTCAAAAATTAAAACGAATATACTTGTATTTTTGCAAATTTAACAGAACAGAAAGTCAATTAATCTCTCCCTTCAAGCCTTCAAGCTGGCATTTAGCGAACGATCACAGTTTCTTGCCTAAGTTTCCACTGATTGACAAATATCTTTTCCTCCTATCTACAAAAACAGAATAAAATATTATGCCACAGCAGATGATCCACAATCGTTTTGATAGAAAACACAGATAGCATACCATTGCTTAGATGACAAAGCATAAATCTGGATAGAAAAGTCATCATTGGGTAGCTTAAGGCACTTAAACATTTCTCTGAATGACTGTGGCCATAGCAACATGTTACTAAGGTGAGTGGGAGAGGAAGAAAGAAAGAAAATAATTTTTTTGAGCAATATTTACACAAACATGAGGACATTAGAGCCTCTTTGAAGTTTTCTTATGCACTATGGAATAATAAAACTGAGCATAGAAACTAAGAACAAGGTTGTATGACAATTGTCTCTTATACAAATAAAGTATCCCCTTGGGTTGCTAAATTAGCATTGTGGCAAATGTTAATGGTTAAAAATACCATAACCACATTAGAAAGAGCTATAGAAGAAGGCACATATTTCCCATTACGGATGGGAAAGCTAGAGCTTTAGGTGTACAGACTGCACGTAAGGTATTGTATTGGGATTACTCCAGTTGATTCAAAGTGTCCAAAGGGAGGTTTTCATCCAGAAGAAATAATTAGGGAGAGCCATTCTCCCTGTACATATAGCTGAAGAGATGACTCTACATGGCTGCAGAATTTACTATACCCTTCAACATGGTGATGGCATGCAACAACAAGAGTGATAGCATCAAGGGCCAATCTGACATAAGCAGCAGTGATGACAGTGAAAATAAGTAATCTTGGTGTGCTGAAGAGACTGGACCCCCATGTATCAGTTTGGAGATAGATCAATGACATACCAAGACAACCAACCTGCATCCTCTGACTATCATATGAGCTCTTTGGGATAGTGGTCATTTTGTCCATCTCCTTCACTCTGCACTCTGGACATGAAAATTAAAGGATCTTGAGTGTCCAATGTGGCAGCCAAGTTTTTCTGGCATCATTACATCTAAAAGACTAAGGAGCAAACTAAACTAGTGATAAAGATTTGGGGAGATTGTCCCTTCTTAGGAGAGAGACTGAGAGGAGAGGAGAAGCGTTTCTGGTTCATTCTGTTGGTAAGGGTATAAGAAAGGTTTTTATTTCTTTTTTCAAATTGTCACCAGGTACCTGGGTGAGCCATGAGATGGTGTTGGTATGGATGGATGGAAGGGAGTAGATAGACTGGCTGGCTAGGTTTTGGTTGCAGAGTGCTTTGCAGGAGCATACCAGATCAGTCAGCTATTTTGAAGGAGCATGCAATTGAGTGTACGATGACTTTTGACCTGGAGAGGAAGAGTGATAGATAAAGCAATGGACAATATGAAGGAAGTAAAGGCAAGCAATGACATGACAGTGTGATGGGCATGAGGAGACATCTGACAGGAAATGGGGATGGGCCATTCATGGGGAAAGTAGTCTTCATGCTTGGTACTGATGCTTCATTCCAATCACTTGGGGCCCCACCCAGAGCCTTGGTCTTTGGAATTTTGGAAAAAGTTCTTTCAGGCAATAAGGATTAAGTTTCAAGAAATTAAGAAGTATCTAAGATTATGTGGTGATGCTTCCTTGGGGTTAGATATCTTGGTTGTGACTTTCCTGGCTATTCAAATGAACTGTTTTCCTATGAACTGCTTCCATAATCAGTTTGTGGAAATCAAGAGCGTGCAGCTTATCATTTTCATAATATGAGCTGAAATAGACATGTCAAAAATAGTATAGCAGGGAGGAAAATTCAATATAAACTGATATGACAACTAACCGTCTAAAGAGAGCAGACATGCTATTTTAGAGTGTCATTGGGAGATAAACTTGTTCCTTTCGCCAGAGGCATACACTAACCTAGGAATGCACTGACCAATGCACCCTTTTTCTCCTTAGTCTAGAAATAGAGTAATATTGTTACAGCCCCAACAACTGGAAGTGCTTACATAAACAGTAAGAAGTTGTTTGTTAATAAATCAAAATATAAATTTGTACAGTTCTCATCAATAGCTAGTCAGTTAATAAATCTTATTTAACCTATCTCTTGCTACCAGCCTATGCACACATATTAGTCTGCTTCAGTTAGTGCTTTTATACAGCATAACTATCTGATGACAAAAAAATGAATTCTTGAAAAAGCTTGAAATGGCTGGAGACCTTTTATTTTATAATCATGATCACCTATAATAAAAATAATGAAGATGAGGTTTCCCCAATTGTTAACTGAAAAAAACCAAAGGCATTTCAAGTTCTGTTAGTTTTCTGGAAGAAACCATTCTGACCCTCCACCAAAAGGATGGCTATAACATGCAAAATGGCAAAGGAGAGAGAGGATTGATAAGCCATCAGTTTCTTAATCAGGAGAAAGCTATCTTTTGCTCACAGCCTGTTCTACTGCTA